TCTTAATCACTGTATGTTAATAGAAATATCTTAACTTTTAAACTACTAGAATCTATCTAGCTAAATATTTCAAGATGCAGTTGGTAATTTACAAAAATAATCCTTCCCAGAATCTCTTCCAGGCTTGATTAAAAATTTTTTAAATGGGGACTGAGTCAGTATTCTGTTTTTTATGCAAATAAATAAAAAGGAAATACAGTTACACAGACAGGTCCTCCAAGACACATTATATTCTAGACACAAAAGTTTATTTAGTCAGTTATCTCAATTTAGATACTGAAGTCCCATAATTTCATGATTCTTACAAAACAATTTTAAAATTCTTGCAAAATCAAAATGAAAAACCACAACTGTGGAACACTAAAAACTATCAGCCTGGGTTTAATTAAGGGGAAGAAATGACAGGCTCTCTTATTGCAAAAGAAAGACAAGTGATATCAAGTAATTCAGATAGGTCCTCTAAAATCCATCTAGTACATATCAATATATTACCCTGAAGTCCTGCTTCTTGAATAGGAGAAAGTTTTAATATATACAAATAGGCAAAACCAAGAAAGAACACAATATTTTCCTGGAGTATCGGTTTTATTCAAGGACTGTGCTTTTAAAAAGTTTTATGAAGTGGATTCACAAGAAAATCAGCAGCATCTTGCTTTTCCATGTTAGGAACCTAAATTTAATGGTAAAAATCTAGAGTGCAGGAATTTTTATATATGCTGACTACCCAGAAATTATAGTAGTTTTGCATTATCAGTGTATTAATAATATTTAAAATAATATTTAAAACAAAATCATATTTCTATTAAACATTCCAACTACAAACATGAATTAGAGTTAAAAGCAGAAGCTTGGAGGGTAAAGCTTGAAACTACTGAGAAATTCAGTGCTGTTAAAGCTATGTTTAAAAAACAATTATACCAATTCTAGTAAAATTATCAGATTGTTTAACAAATAAAAAAGAGAAAATTTGCTTCCAGTTTCCCTTGAGGTCAGTTTGAAAATGGCCTTAGGAAAGAAAGAAGTCCTGATATATGGTACAACATGAGTGAAACTTCAAGACATTATGCTAAGTGAAATAAGCAAGACAAAGAACGACAGACATTCGATTCCATTCCTATAGGGTATCTAGAACAGGCAAATTCAGGGAGGCAGAAAGGAGAGCAGAGGTTCCCAGAGACTGAGGAGAGGAAGGAATCGCGAGTTATTGTTTAATGTGTACAGTTTCTATCTGGGATGACAAGAGTTCTAAAAGTAGATGTTGGTGAGGATTACACAACACTGTGAGTGTACATAATGCCAGTGAATTGTGCACTTAAAAATGGATAAAGTGGTAAATTTTATGTCATGTATATTTACCACAATAACCCCCCACAAAGCCCCATAAACTTAACAAATAGATAACCTTAAAAGGTGATGTTCTCTATATTAAAATCATCACACAGGGTCTTTTATCCCCTGCCCTTCTGCCATTCTCCCTCTACTTTACTCTTTATTATCTTTCGATATCAACTGAAACACTGCTTCTTGGAAATCTTACCTAAATCACGGAGTAGGGAAACTTTTTTTTATTATACAGTAGATTCTCCTTCACAGCACTCATTAGTTTTAAATATTTACATATACAGTTTTCCCATGATACTTATATATACATATTTCCATGACAATTATTTCCCTCTCTAAAATGTAAAGCTCCATGAAGAGCTTTTAAGCTTACTCTGATCTGACCTTCTAGCTCGGATGCTTAACATTATTGAAATTCATGAATGAGAAGAAAAATTGTAAAGCCTTGCACTAGTGATACAGCTAACTTGGTAGAGGATCAAAAAGATGCAAACTGAAAAAAGGTAATTTAGTGATCAATAATATCAACAAGTCATTTTAACATGCTCCCAAGACCTATACCAACAAGCAGAAACTGAGGCTGATTCTGCTCTTTATTAGAAGTAGTACATATTATAATGATTTTACTGACTCATTGTATTTATAATGATAGTGAAGTCTATAAATGCATTTTACTTTGTAAAATACAAGTTAGATAAAAATTTTAAATAACATATCAATTTTTAATCAAGCAAGACATTCCCCTGAATAAAACATATAGATGTGAACACAAATTGGATCAAATTTATGAAAGGGTAAACTGTAAGAATCAAGGTGAACATATTCTAAATCAAGGTTTCTCAACCTCAGTAGTACTGACTTTTTATGAGTGTGTCCCATTTAACCATTTTAAATGTAAAATTCAGTGGCATTAACTGTATGCACAATGTTGTGCAACCATCATCACTATTTCCTATATTTTTCATCACCTAAATGGAATCTCTGTACCCACTAAGCATGAACTTCTCACTCTTTACACCCCCGATAACCTCTAAGCTACTTTAAATGTGATTCTTTTAGACAGCTCCGTAAGTGGAGTCATGTATCTGTCTATGTCCGGCTTATTTCACTTGACATAATGTTTTCAAGGTTCATCCATATTACAGCATGCATAAGGACTTCATTCCTTTTTATGACAGAAAAATATTCCATTATATGTATATACTACATTTTGTTTATCCATTTATCTGTTGAGGGATACTTAGGTTGTTCTACTTTTCTGACAGTGTGAGTAATACCCCTGAACAGTGAAGTACAAGTACCTGTACGTATGTATGAGTCCCCTTTTGGTGTTTACATAGGAGTGGAATTAAAGGAGGGTCCTATGGTGATTCTATGTTTAAGTTTTTGAGATACCACCAAACTCTTTTCCACAGTAGCTGAATAACTTTATATTCCCAGCAGCAATCTATAAAGGTTCCAATGTCTCCACATCCTCACCAACACTTATTATTTTCCTTTTTTAAAAAAAACAACAATAGTCACCTTAATGTGTGTGAAGAGGTATTTCCTTGTGGTTTGGATTTGGATTTCCCCAATAACTAATGATGCTAACAATCTTCCTGTTTGCTTATGGGCCATTTGTGTATCTTCTTTGGAGAAATGTCTATTCAAGTCCTTTGCCCATTTTTTAATTGGGTAGTTTGCCTTTTTATTGCTGAATTGTAGGAGTTCTTCAAATATTCTAAATATTAAAGCTTTATAAGATATAGGACTTACAAACATTTCTTCCATTCTGTGGGCTGCCTTTTCACTGTCTTGATCAGGCATCCTCCGAAAAAGGAGTTTAATTTTATCCAAGTTCATTTTACCTACTTTCGTTGTTGCCTATACTTCTGCTGTCCAACCACCACCATATCCAGTATTGCACACATGTGTCTCTATGTTTCCTTCTAAGTGTTATAGTTCTAGCTGGTATGTTTAGGACTTTGATTCATTTTCAGCTAGTTTTTACATATGATGTAAGGTAAAGGTCCAACTTCATTCTTTTGCATGTGAATATTCAGTTTTCTCAGCACTCTCTGTTGAAAGGATTGTTCTTAAAAATGCTGAGATCAATAGGAACCAATTTATACATAACTTGGCATGTGCTACATTTTTTATATGACAAGGCAGTTTCAAAGAAGGAAATAGGAACAGCAAATAAACATTCGGTCTTAATCAGTATTTATTGGCATTCTTGTACTATGTGCAAAGCCTAATGCTGATTGCTGTGAGGGTAAAAAATTTAAGGTACAGAATGTATTTTTTTAGGGGCTTAAAATTTATTTGGGAAAGTAAGCCACTACACCAGCCAAGTTAACTAATTTAAGGCATGCATGGAGCCAGATCAAATGAGCACGTCAGACAGTATGCACTAAGGGAATTTGGAGGAGGCAGTTATCACTGCCAGCTGGGATGGAAGTTTTTCTTTGTTGGCCTTAGTGTTAATCCAGCCATGTAAATCACTTTTGAAAGAACAAAAGAAAAATAGATAACCAAAGTATTTATACATAGTCCCTTTCTAACATGTTTCAAGTATCTTCTGTTATTTTCATAATAATTTTTCATCAAAAGACAAATGTAGTCAAATTTATAAAACATATGCAACTAGTACAATGACTCTGTTTTCCAGTGTTTATAAAAGAGAAACAGGAAACATGACAATTTTTCCTGTCTTTCATATTCAACAAGTTCAATGTATGGCATTTCCCTTATAATTCTTTCAAAACACAACATAGTTGCTAACACTTCAATGTGTTTGAAAACTATCTCTTCTCTGGGCATGGTATTCATGTTCATTTTAGGTAAGATTTTTAAGTGACCTGTTCCTCATTTTTTATCTTATAAGAAACTGTTAGGGAGAAGTTACAGGGAACATATAACTCAATGAATCCAAATGATGAATTTTAAAATAATTCAAATGGTAACAGGAAGTCTTTAGAAAATGAACTATTTCTCAGTGATAGCTGAATGAACATAGGTATATAGAGAAAAGAAAACAAAATAATACTGTGTGGACTAAAATACACCTGCCATTGAACATGTAATCCAAAAACTTCCTCAAAACATACTTAGGCAAACCATAGAAAGGATAATTGGTGCAAGTGAAAATAAGATCTGCATATATAGTCACATAGTCTGGTGCCTCTGGTACAGTAAAGTTTGGTTTATTAATAAACACCTGATTTTACTTCAATAAAGTAACAACTCAGAAAATGAAATGAGCCCTCTAAGAATAAACAGAGTTATTATCATCTAGGAGAGAGACATATAAACTTTACCGATCTGGGATTGTACATAAACACTTGTTACATGTTTATCAAGTATATAAACATGCACAAAATCTTACAAAGTGGTACAGATGCATCATCTATGCTCCTCCTCCCTGCTGTTGTCTACTCCGCGTTAACTGCTTCATCGTACCTACCGCTTCATGCCTTCCATCTGAGTGTCACTCACGAATAGGAGATGCTCTAAGAGGTTTGTTTTACTTGGAAGTAGGCAGCTGGTGACTTTATGAATTAATTAGCTACTGATTTGGTATGGAGATATATGTTTGGATTCAATTTCAGTGAAGTACAAAAAAGTATCAAGATAGTCAGCTTAATTTTAGACAAATACGAGAATGGAAATCTTACCCACATACAGGCCTCAATCCTAACTTTTGAGATGATGCTCCACAAAGAAATGGCTCCTTCAATGCCCTCTTCATCTGGACAAATAATCTGATCAGGGTAGGGTGGTTCAGGAAAATTAACTGAATTGCATTCATAAGCAGCTAATGTAACTGAAGCTATATGTGGACCCTATAAAACAAATAGGAAAAACCTCTGATGAGAAATAGTACTGAAAACAGAGTTACCAATATACATTATTTTAACAGTATCTTAATCACTGTATGTTAATAGAAATATCTTAACTTTTAAACTACTAGAATCTATCTAGCTAAATATTTCAAGATGCAGTTGGTAATTTACAAAAATAATCCTTCCCAGAATCTCTTCCAGGCTTGATTAAAAATTTTTTAAAAACTCAGATTTATTGAGGTATAATTTACATATGGTAAGAGTCATTTTTTTTCAGGTCTATAGTTCAATCACTTTTGACAAATATATTCAACTATATAACCACAACCAATCAAAATATAGAACATTTCCATCACTGAAGAAAGTTTCCTTGTGCCCTTTCATAGTCAGTCTCCTTTCCCCAACACCAGCTCCTTGAACCATATGATTTCTGGCTTGATTCTGATTTTACTTATCCACATTTCTCATTTGAAAGACTATCCCCTGTGATAAAAACTTCCTGTGCCCTAATTTAAGAATACTGTTTTTTGTCCCTTAAAAAGAGCTGATAAAAAAAATAAAAAAGACTTGGTGAAGTAACTACCTCACCTATCTTTCCTACTGAGATGCTAAAACAATAATAAAACTGTGGAACCAGTATCGGTGAGTTTTTCTTTTACAGCAATTTTTTTTCTAAGGAAGCTTTTGTGCTGTTTTGAACCTTTATTTTGAGGTATGACAAATTAATGAAAATCATATACATTAAAATGAATTATTATTTCAATGTGTGATAAAGGCTTAAACATAACAGTTCCCAAATGCACATGTATGCCAAGGTGAGGTGTCTGTGTAAGAATTAACTAGGGAGTTTGTTTAAAAATAATTAATTCCTGGGCCCCCTAAGCATCCCCTAAGCATAGATTGATTTAATAGGTGCAGGTGGGAACCCCTATGTTTTAAACAAATTCCTTATAGTTTCAAATAGGTTAGGTTCTAATAAGCTAGGATTAGGAAACATTGGAAGAAAAGTAAATCAAAGGTCAGAAAATTCCTGGCTTTGGACAAGTCACTTAAACTTTATGGGCCTCAGTTTACTCTTATGCAAGGCAAAACAATTAGACACATCTTATGATTTTACCCAGCTCCAAAATTCAAAAGCCCCAAATATAAGCAAATACATCAATAAAATCTAATGCTAATCTTCCAAATTCTCATGAGCTGTAAAGTCTAAAAGTTGGACATCCTTAACATGCTGCTCTAATATCCATAGTGTAAGTATTTACTTTAAAGCATACTATAGACAACGTTTATAGCATAATGGCCACTAACGTAAGTTCCAGAGCTAGATGTTCTTCTGGTTCAGGTTCAGGCCTCTGCCACTTACTTTTTGAGTCTTGCTTTCCTCATCTATAAATGGGAATGTAAAATACCTTCAGGACTGACACACTGGGAATATTGTGAGGTCTAAATTAGTTCATATAAAGCACTCAGATTAAAACTGCTGGGCATACAGAAGCCCTCAAAAAGTACTAGCCTCTAGCTGTTATGAAGAAAAATACTACATCTGTGAATAAAGACACACACACACACACACACACACACACACACACAAACGAGTAAGTGGTCTGTGTATATATGACAGTTTTTAAAAATCACATGGCAAAAGAATTTGTGGCTCAAAGACAAAGTGTATAACATGCAGTGATTAAAATAAAACAATGAAGAACTGCTATCAAGATGAAAGGCAATAAAAAACAAGTTTTATTTTGTTGCATGGTAATATGAAAGGAAAGATATCATAAATCTAAGCCACATTTTCCCCTAAATGCAACAGGCATTTTGTGTTCACATAAAATCTTAAAAAAATGAAGTTCTAAATTTAGCAATAAATCAGTTATTAGGTTTTCTGAACCAAAAAATATCTAGGTGAATTTTTAGTTAGTTCCTCTTTTTCTTCAGTTTTAATTCATAGAGATCCATAAATAGTAATATATAAGTTTAAAAAATATTTATAGAATGTTTAAACAAGGAATGTTTTTGAGTATTCAGGGTTTTTAAAAAAGTTTGATTATCCATGAAATCTACAATTGTTTCTTTGAATATTAGTGTGTAGGGGTTTTCAAAGTTGGGGGAAAAAAACAATTATTTTGCTATTTTACCAACCCTCTACACAACCACCCCAAGTTTGAAAGTTTGTGGAATTCTGAATAACTAAACAATTAGTGAAAAATTTCTCACTGTACACTTACAGCTAAGTGTCAGATGTAAATTAAAACAAAAAAAAAAAACCCTTTAACCTCAACCTTTACTGTTTGAAAACACATAAAGGAAACGTGATGCCAGTTAAGTAAAACAAGAAATTCAAGAGTTTGTCCACAATATCCGCACACAACTGTCTCCTTTAGGTTGCAGGAACAGTCTACTCTTCAACTTTAAAAATGAACTCTAAGTGAACAAAAGTTGAATTGTATTGGATGCTTAAATAATGAGACTTCTGGAAAATAGAGGAAGGAAAAAATTATATTTCTATGCCAGAAATATAGATAAAATGTGTACCCCGACAGATTAAACACAATATCCAACAAGATAAAAGACTTATACATAGTTTTAATTTTAAGTGATTCTAAAAAAGGAAATTTTCCATAATCTGATGAGAATTTTTTCTCTGTAAAGAAAGGAGGGTTCATTCACACAACTAAACCGATACATACTTTCCATAACCGCATTAATAAGTCATGATTACTTAGCCTTAGAGGCAGATGTGGTGGTTCCCAGCAAAATGAACACAAATAACTCAGCTTCTTGTCTTTTGTTCATTCTCAAGAGCATGTTTTACCTTTACCTTGACATTTAGCTTAAACTATTTTAACTGATAGGGAACCTCACAAGCTCATAAATATAACTGACTTGACTGCAATAAATATTAATTTACATGAAAAATCCAAACACAAAAATAATATAACAATCATTTTGATTAAAGAAGTTTAAAAGTTACATATACTCAAGCCACCTGTAAGTCTATTTTCTAAAATGTACAAGCCCACTACAATGTATCAAATATGAAAGAATCACATTTTATCTGTACTATATGAAGAAAACAAGGGATAAAGACAACAGCTATAATAACAAAAGTCTATCTGGGCAGAACCAACATAAAATACAAATTACAATATACTGAGCAGAGGTTCTAGCTCTCATGTACATATGTATATATTGATATGTATGGGCTAGAGATCGTGGCCTTTGGCTGACAGTTTTCTGCCTTAAATTATGAAGTAATTGGTATTGGACTTTCACTCCTAAAGTAAACAAATAGAAAACTTCACAAAATACATGTAACAATTTTTTTCAGACATTGTACCACAGGCAGCATATGACTTCTGACTGTTGAGAAGAGGGATACAAATGAGGAAACCCTATGATGACTCTGGTTTTTCACTTGTAGAGACACCCCATGTACACAGCAAAATCTGTGGTCCGAAGAGGAAGAGCCCAAGCAAAGCATGGTACTTTTCCTGAGTTGAGAAGGAGGAAATCAGGGTGCAGGAAGGCTGAGGAGTTGTGGGACAGAATACTAGTGAAGGGGGAGCTATGCAAAGAAAGAACTTTAGAAATATGTCAGGGGGTCCCCTTGAGACTCTAGTGTACAAAGTTGCACTATATGCTAGCGTGAAATTTTATGAAACCAGTCAAAGTACAAATAGTGCAAAAAGAACCACTAGGAGGGAGTTGTAAGCTAAACACTTCCTAGAATTCATATAGTTCTAGGAAGCACTTGAGCTTCAACCTGCTAAAGTGGAGTAACTTAATATTCAGGGAAGACCTTGGAAAGAGCCTAGAGTAAAAGCTACTCTAAACAGGCCATAACACACCTTTTCAAAAGTCTTAAACAGGTAAGACTGATCCACAGGTAACTTAACTGTCCACCAAAACAAAAAATGGATGCTCTACAAAGAAAGACAACAAAATCTGTAAACTCAACAATTAAATCTGTAAATACCAACAATCTGGTATTAACCACATGTCCAGCATCCAATAAGAAATATCTAAACCTAATAAGCAGAAAAATGTGATACATAAGTAGAAGAAACATTAATCAATAGAAACAGACCCAGAAATGTCAGAAATAGGAGGAAAAAGTGACCATACATATATTTAAGAATTTAAAGCAGCAGCTGGCAAACTTCAACCTATGGACCAAATTTGGCCCACTACCAGTTTTAAAATGAGCCATGTGCATTCATTTACATATCATCTCTGGCTAATTCTGTGCTTCAATGACAAAACTGAATAGCTCTGACAGAGACTCTATGACCTACAAAGTCTAAAATATTTACTCTATCTCCTTTTACAGAAAAAAAATGCTGACCTCTGATTTAAAGGAAGACAAACACAATGAGGAAAGAAATGTTAAGTATAACAAATTGGAACTTCTAGAGCTGAAAATATAATACCTGATTAGAAAAATTAATTGTGTTATCAACTGATTAGACACTGTAGAAGAAAATATTAGAGAACTTGAAGATAGGGCAATGGAAAGTATCCAAACTAAAGGACACAGAGTAAAGGTTATGAAAGAAATGGACCTCAGTAACCTGTGGAATAATATCAACTAGTTTAAATCTACATCCTATTAGAATTCCATTAAGAGAAGAAAAGGTGGGGAGGGGGAGAAGTATGGGCACAAAAATACTTAAAGAAATGGTGGCCAAAAATTTCAACATTTGATGAAAAATACCAATCCATCAACTCACAGATCTAAGAAACTCACCAAACCTCAGTCTGGATTAATACAAAGAAATCAAAACACACATAATCAAACTGCTGAAAAACTATAATCACAATATAATCAAATTGCTAGGACAGTAATAACAAGAAAATCTTAAAAGCAATCAGAGGAGATAAAAATAATGAATTATCCAAAGAGAAATACAGATGACTTACCACAAATAATGCAAACCAAAAAGTAATGGAATTACTTCTCTAAAGTGCTAAAAGGAAAACAACTCTGTCATTCCTGA